TCTTCAGCTTTGGTACGCGTCTGACATTCTTTAGATTCCACTTAAAGCCCTTCATCTGAATCTGCACATCGCCTCTTTCAACAATACTGCAAGGCTCATTATTTCCCAATTACTCTTTCCTAAAGTCCCTTGCTATATAGTTCTGAAGAAGCTTCCTATTAGCAGTGGTGTGGAATGAGGCCCCCGAATTAATAACCTATGAATCAGAATCGCTATCCACAGCAAGGATCAAGGCATCTTGCACGATATAAGCCTCCTGCTCATTCGCATCCCTTTGATAGGTCTAGCCTTCGAGTTTCACATCTTCTTCTTTGACTTCGACTGATTCCTATTCTGGTACCCTTCTTCTAGCTTCGACCTCTCTTTTTGAGATTTAGGGCTGAACCTGAACCTTCTGATTTGGATGATTTTCTTCTAACCTCCTTGTATAGAATTATACTAACAACCTCGCTCAGCTTTAACTTCTCCTTTCCTACCGAGTTACTAAATGCGGTCATACAACCTGCCCAGCTATCTGGCAACTATGATAGAATCAATAGGGTCTGCCCTTCGTTATCAAACATGATGTCGATGGAGGTAAGTTAATCAATAATCATGTTGAACTCGCTGAGATACATCATGAAGGAGCATCATTCTACCATCTTGAGGTTGAATAGTCTCTTAACGAGTGTAGGCATCAAAAATTGCCTATGGGTTCCCACACACAGTTCCAGATGAAGAGAAGATGATAGATGATATTATCCGAGTCGAAGAGGATTATCTGACATCAATAAGAAAATGAAATGAGTCGACGAAACGTACGAATCAACAGGACGACAGAATAACAAAGTATCGATCCAATCAGGAATTACGTTTAACTCACGAAATATGAGGCACCATTCGTGTCTCATCCACTCCACATATGTTTTACCCATGGAAGATTGTAGATCTTTTCTTTAGCTTTCTGACGCACTTCGAATCATGTCGTTCCGAAACCGAATCGGAAAATTACGATAAAAATAGTCAAAAAGGGGAAAGCGACGTCTCAGTCAAGACCAAGACACATTTGTGTCTCGGCCAGGGCCGAGACAGTCTCGGCGAGACTATCCCGGCATGGCCGAGACTACCCCGGCCCTGAAAATACTGTTTCACGCCCATTTCTTCGATGTTAACTACCTTTTTCTGATCCAAAGCCTCTCCAACTGATTTGGAGTTATCTATGAACGTGGTTAAGTGGTTACAATTGAGGATAAGATCAAATCATTTGTTGTTATTCGAAAACTGGGCTTCTGAAGCCTATAAATATGGCCCTAGGATCTTCATTTACACGGATCCAGAATTCTCGAGCGTCGGCGAAGCCATGTCGAACTAAAGAGTGAGGAGCCCGAATTTCAGAGAGGAGAAAGAGATCTCGACGAGCTATTCAGTATAAAGAGGAAGAGTTCGAGAGATCTGCATCCGTTTACCCATTTCCTTGAGATCGTACCTAGCTGTGATTCTCGAGAATAGTGATTATCTTTTTTTGCCGAGATAGTTACTTTAGTTTATTGTCTCTTTTGTGAGGTAACGAAATAGTTATATTGGATCTGATTAGTCGGTGGTCCACGGATAAACCCCGGCATAGGCCAAGATCCAACACAAACAGCGGGTGATAAACGTCCGTTGTGTGTTTTTTTAAAAAGTTATAATTTTTATTTTTATTTGTTGAGATCATTGTAATGACTAAAGTTGTGATGAGTCTGTTAATGAAATAACCAAATTTTTTACCAAAACAACGAGATGCACCTTGTTTGCGGCTGATGGTTGCTCGTACATCTTCGCGAGCGCTTCAATAAACCCCACCGTCGTCTTCTCCTTCAATATGTTGTGGATGACTGATTTTATGAGCGACAACCAAATCTGCCCTAGAGCCTTCTAATCTAGTATTTTTCAGTCCTCGTCTGATTCCTCCTTTTTTCCCTTAGCTTTGCACACCAACGATGGTAAAGATCCTTCTGGTATAGATAGTCCACCATCTGCGACTTTCAGTAGGCGAAGTATGATCCTTCAAACTTATCAATCTTCTATTTGCTTTCTTTTGCCACAGCTATCATACTTTCTGAACAAAGCTCAAATACCAGTTGTTGGGGTTAAAACAACGATAAACCGTGTCCATTCGGATCTTGTGTCTAAAGTATAGCAAGCAAGAAAATCATGACAAATAACAAAACTTGCAAGAAAAACAATAAGAAAGTGAGAACACCAGATTTAACGAGGTTCGACAAACTTGCATACGTCCTTGGGAGCCACACCAGAAAATTCATTTATGATTGAAGAAGATTACAATGCCTGCAAACAGTCTCTTTTTCTCTGAGAATTCTCCCACAAAGTGTTCAGAAAACCCTCTCAAAACCCTCTCTTTTCGTGTACTACTTAACCCTAAAAACAAAGAAGGATTATATATACACCAAGCCCAAAACAGGAATCCAAACAGAAACATGCTTTCTGTTTTTAACGTCATCGGTCGACTGACGCATGACTGATGAGAATAGGTTTTCCGAGTGCACTGCTTGTGCACGTTCTTCAGTCGACTGGTAAATCCCTTCGACTGACGGGCTCTTTCGGTTGACTGATAAGCATTAGTCGACCGAGCAGAAACTTTTAACAATTGTAGAGGTTTCTTCAGTCGACGGGTCTTCGCGTCGGTTAACTGATCTGGGCATCGGTCGACTGATCCATGCCCATCGGTCGACTGATGCCTAGTTTTTTTAGCTTTATTGATTTCGATCCAGGTTTCGCTCAAACATCCAAAGCCAACAAAATCAATTCAGCTAATTATTAAAAATAAAAATAAAAACTCTGTCCCTTATGAATAACATAATAATTAGTGCAATGTAGGGTCGTACTTTCATTTTATTCATTTGTTAGGATAATCAGGATTTGCTATATTGAAATATAATCTCAATTTTTTTGTACTAACTGATATTTACAATAGACAGTTAGTATCACTATTGTTAGAGTATAAAACTATAATACTCAATCCTTAGCATATGTTAAAAAAATTCATGTGCTAAAAGGGGTTTTGACATGGAATTAGAGCAATCTAGCTTTAAATCCCGTTGGCCACTCATTTGATGCAAATTAAAAAAAAAGATACTAATATATGAGTCGAGATTTCAGTCCATGAAAAGAATGTTCAACTTGCAAGGATATGTTTGAATATGATCTTTTTTTTTTGTCGACTTTTTTTTGGGGGGTGGAGGTGTTGTGGGTGGATTATAACCCTCAAAGTACCACAAGGTCAAGGACTTTAGCAACTACTAAAAGCATGGATGAGAGTGTCCACACAAAGCACAATTTAAGATCCAAAAGAATGCTAATCATATCATGGCTTATCTTAGCCTCAGTTTAGGACTCTAAATTTTTTAAAAAGGCAGTTGTTTAATTCTTGGTATGTTCGGAACAAAAGCACTCAAAGGGGTCTTTTTTGATTGCCTCCTTCCAATGCTAAAAGGAGAGCATCAGTCTAAATTATTTTTGTCCTATCCTTCACTATTTTATCCAGTCCTTCTTGCTTGATAGATTTCTCTTTGGATGCTTTTATGCCTCCATTCTTGCTTTAGCTTTAGGACAACAGATAGTGCTCCGAGATAAGATATAGTTTGAACTCGCCTCTGTTGAGTTGTCAGCATTAGCATATGGGGGAGCCTTGGGCCAAAATTAGGTTGCTTTAAGATGAAGGGTACACTGACTTCATCCTCATAATCTATAATAGCCTCAGCTTTTTTTTTTCTTTGGGTGGGGGGGGGGGGGGGGGGGTTCCAATTTTTTGATAAAAACATTCAATTGAGGATATTCAGTAACATATTTTACAAGGATAAAGAAGAGGATGAAATCTAACGTATCACAACTCTTAATGCACATATAACCACAAATGTCTACTAACTCTTAATGCACATATCATCGCAAATATCTACCAATATATAGTTATTATTGTCAATCAATACAATTGTGACTCCACCAACAATCATTGTAATGTCTTTCTTCCCTATTTTATTATTCTATGGAGGGTGCTCTACAGATTTTTGTTTTTATTTTACCACTTTGTTGGTCAATCCTTTGTTATGTGCCACCTACATATGTATAAAGTCCCAACTTTGGCCTTGAGCGCTCATCTTCATCACTCAAAAAAAAAATATATCATTTCAATTATTGGTTTTTTCTTCCATAATTTGATAGAGAGTGAATAAATCAGGGCTAATGTAGAGACAAGAAAGCAAGGCATTCACCACATGAGCTCTCAATTACCCTACATTGATTTGAAACTTCTCATGCCCTTCCCATGAGCAGAGCTTTGTAAGGGACCACTCCAGCTAAAAATTACAATCGTCCCTATTCACAAACATGTTATTTATATATCAAAATTTATTTTTGTAAGAGATTAGCAAAGAAACAAGGGGACTTAAAACAAATTTATTGTTTAACAAAATCTATGGTATATACTTTCAAAAAATCTCTTGTTTAACACAATCTATGGTATATACTTTAACATATCCTTTTTCAAAAAGAATTAACAAAATCATATCTCAAGTAACCCAAAAATTCCCATTAATTAAGAAATTACAAGCACTCTCTTTCACCTAACTGAGATTATATAAAAAAAAAAACAGAAGCACCCATAATTAGCAATAATCCCATGGGGCATGGAATAACTTTCATGTAGACAAATCTGATTTGTTCTGGGTGCACATGGGCCGTGCACCCCCACATCCTAATTTTGGTAGTAATGTGCAACTGTGATGGCAATCTCACCCAATCTCCTTTTAGCCTTCAATAGGAAATCAAGGCCACTGCGGGCCCCACTCACTTAATTAACCAATAGATATCCAACCAATTAATAATGGTAGACTATATCACAACTACAACGTTACAATTATTATAATTGAAGCTATAATAATGAGAATAATAATGAGAATAATAATAAGAATGAAAATAGGTGGGTCGTAGATTTTGTTTTGGCTTTGGGGAGGAAGAGGGGGGGGATTCTGTTACTCTCTGGGCTCCTTTGTCTAGTTTGATCTGAAAAAGATTGAGTTTTTATTATTATAAAAAAAATCCAATTTTTATCAACAGTTCTCTCCCCGAAGGTCCCAATTTGAAAAGACCGGATGTTGACAAATTTTCATGTCCTGTTGTTAGAAGGTCGTTTGTTCTTCTGTTTGTGCGTGGGAGTGATATCTTCTCTATTATCTGGGAGATCTCTCTCTCTCTAAAAGTCTTTGCTTTCGTTCATTCTCTCTCTTGATTGTGAGTGGCCCAGTGGATCGAAATCTCTCAATTGGATGACGATCTGCAGTCCTTTCCTCTGTATTTTTTGACCCATTTCTTTATTGTTTGAGTATCTCTCGGTAGTGGGGACACTTGGGTCTCTCTCTCTCTCTCTCTCTCTCTCTCTCTCTCTCTCTCTCTCTCTCTCATCTTTACTTTGTCGCTGTTGTTGTTATTCTCTTTTGATGGAAGACGGGCTGCGCTCACTTGGGTTGTGTTGGTTTTCCAAGTGATGCTTGACCCTTCGCAGAGGAGCTTTAGAGATGGATTGCAGCAGTGAGATCGAGGTGATTTTTGTTTCTGATGGGTTTTTATGAATTATCTCAATCTGGGTATGCTTGGATTAAGAGATTGTGAGATGGGTTTGAGCTAAATTTTGTTTCTTTTTTTGCTTTAATATGTTGATCATCTCGTATGTTGATTTGGGTCTTGATTGGTTTCTGATTAGATTTGTTGATCTGGGTTATTGCAATTGCACGCGTAAATTCTAATTTCATGAGCAAAAATTGTTTCTTGCTTGTAAGATTCTTTATATAATTCTATGGCTGATGAAATTGGGGGTGTTAGATTAATGATTAGAAGCTTTAATTTGATAATATGTGGTTTGGGTTGAGAATATAATCCTCTTTCTCCTACTTTTTTTTAATATGTATAATTGTCTCTTTCTTGAATAGGGAATTAAACTTATTTGCTGCTTGTGGTGAGAATGTTTCCTGATGCAAGATATAGATTCTTCTACCCAGTTTTGGGCCCCTCTTTGTATAATGTAATGGAGTTGTGTACTAATTGTGGCTTATTATTTGCATGCAGATTATTCTGCTTAGATCTTCCTCCTTGTACTTTACATTTGTTTATCATCTGTTCCTTATACATTTTGAAATGTTGCAATGTCGGTTATGCAGGTAATAAGTGACCGGCAACCTAGATTTTAAAATTTGAAGCTCATTATTCTCATCAGCAAAAAAGATTTGCTTGAAGTGGTGTAGACTCAAGTACTATTGAAGCTTCAGAATTGGCTTATTTCAGAATTGATTTAATTTGATGAGTAATGCCAAGTAATCGTGCCTTCGGGATTTACTGGGACTGTTTTGCAAGTGGCTGTTTCCTGCTTGATAGGGTAATTATTTTACTTTCATATTCTGAGCCACATTTTCTTGAATTATTACAGATGATATTTGCAGTGCTTGGTTTCATTCTGGTTACAGAGAAATTTGTCTCTTCATGTTGAAACTATCCACACGAGAAGCTCTATGCAGTTTCTTTTACGAGTATACTACTTTTATTTGCACACTGATGGAGTGTGGAGAGTTTAGAATCCAAAATATTACTAGGCATTATTTTCTACAGTTAGGTCAGCGATGTTAATGAAGGAAAAGGAATGAAATGCTATTTGGGGACTTGGTAGTAATGTTGTGTTGGAGATGGGATGCTGGATATTGTAAATCAGTAATTTGCAAAAATAATTTGCTGACTGTCTATCAAATAGATGATAAATTAGAAAGTTCACTTCCAATATTTACTGTTGTTTCCTTTTCCTATTTGTTGCATGTTTCTGTTAACTTTATGTCAGAATTCAGTTTGGATACATATTCCAGATGTATGAGATATATTGTAATGTTTATATACATTTAAAAGAGTACACAACACGTTCTCAACATGTAGGAATCTTAAATTATCCAGCGTGTATCTCAAAATATTGGTACGTTACCACTATTTGAAGTGCTCTTCCTACATTAATGTGCATTGCTTGCAGGGTCAAGCTCGTAGGTCCAAGTTTTCCCCAAAAAGAGGGGCAGAGAATAAGTACTTCAGTTCTTATACAAGGAAATTCTGCCTACATGTTATTGGTATAGATATAAACTTGAAACCTGAGCGTGGAACCAAGATTTTAAACCTTCCTTAAAACATATATTTGTGAAATGTAAGTCTATAACAGATTTCCATAAATGAGAATTCGGACGTGGAGCTAGTACATAGCTTGCTACTTGTCAAATTTTTTGCTAGTTACGTAGAGCACCTTTTTCGGGTTTCTGGAGCTTAATTTCCACTGGGCTTGTTAACGATCTCTGTAGACTGGCTTGATGTGTTACTTAGCTTTTCTTTTTATTCTTCTTAGTTCTAACCATTTGTAGAATGTGCTTATCAGTTTGGTAATATTTTGGACTTCGCTTTTCTTTATGTCCTGGGTATGCAAAATGTTTGTGGAGTTTTATGTTGATGCGCAAAGACAGAGGCTAGACTCCTGTATGTGAGAAATACTAGAGAAGTAATGATAAAACACGCCTAAATTATTATGATACATCACCAGAATCAATGATATAACCAGAAAATTTGAGAACGGAGAAACTATAAACTATAATTTATATTCCAATGGCTCATAATATCGTGAATCTAAAGCAAGGATCTCCAAAGTACGTGGTCTTACTACAAAATCAGTAAAAAAGTATTTATTTGGGGTCTGGCTACAAATATTTATCGCTTTAGTCTAAGCACAGTCTTCTGCTATCTCTAGCTGCTTATTCAATTATAATCGTCCCTACTTATGGCCTCGCTACCCATGGTTTTAAATATTCCTGATATAGCCTAATATACTAGCAAATATATCCTTTTATAAGGCTTGCTGCAAAATGATACGGTCTCAATATTGTTCATTGCTTTGTGGAAAGTTTTGGGCTATATAGCACTAATATGGCTGGCTACAAATATTTATCGCTTTAGTCTAAGCACAGTCTTCTGCTATCTCTAGCTGCTTATTCAATTATAATCGTCCCTACTTATGGCCTCGCTACCCATGGTTTTAAATATTCCTGATATAGCCTAATATACTAGCAAATATATCCTTTTATAAGGCTTGCTGCAAAATGATACGGTCTCAATATTGTTCATTGCTTTGTGGAAAGTTTTGGGCTATATAGCACTAATATGGCTGATATATCAGCCAATATGTCCTTTTATACAGCTTATCGTAGAACAATATAGTTCTAAAAATATCTTTAATGTTTTTAGCAAAAATACCATCCCTATTTAAAATTTTAGCAAAGTTATATATGGCTCTTTTCTCTAAGAAATTCTCTATGGTTAGTTATTGATCCTAAATATATATTATTTACAGTTTTATATACGTAGATTTCATTAAATATGTTTAGATTACAATTTAGGATGTCATATTATATATGTACATCATTCGAAACGACACTATGATATTTACTACACATCCTTGATATTCCCCGATATCTGTAATCCTATGGATTTTGGCCATCAAATATTTCTCAGATATCCGATTACAAAACCTTGCCCCTACCTAGTCTCTACTCGACAGGCCTAAACAATCTTGAATTGTTCTCCCTCATCTTACCTTTAAAGGTTCTTTCTAACTATGTATTTGTAATTCGTTCTTAATTTTATCTTATACTTTTCCTATCTTTTTAGGCAATATTTTTTTAAGATTGTTTTATACTAAGTTTGGAATAAACTTTAGCTTGACGTGGCGAGTTAAATTAATGAGTTTGTATAAGCTGTCAAGTCACGTCGACCTATTCATGCATACATCATAGTTGCTACATATATGGGCTCGGATGTAGCACGAGCCCAAATATTTTTAACTAGGCCGGAGTCTTTGTATAAGCTCATCCAAATCCCAAGCTGGCTACTCATTTGTGAGGTTTAATTTTCGTCCATGATGTAGGTGTTTTATATATGTTTTATTCCTTCCCTTAATGAACACAATGTTTTAAAAAGTCACACCTAACCTGCCTAGGCATTTGCCTAGGCCTAGGTGGTACATAGGCCGCTTGCTTAGCACCTAGCGTCTAAGTGGTACATAGGCTACCACCTGGATTTTGGAAGCGCATAGGAAAGCGTGGGCTGTTTGCGTGGACTGTACTCTTTAGGCCTTGATCGTGATTTCCTCCGTTGTAACCTCCATGTCTTTCAACCTCCTCCAAACTCCTCCAGCTTCCAACTATGAGCACCTTCTCTACCTCTTCCGACTTTTAGTAAAACCTTCTCCCCCACCATTTAACAAAAAAAAATATGCCTAGGCGTTAGTCCAATGCCTAAGCTTTCTATAATATTGGTATTTACTATCAATTATTGTAATTAAAAAATAAAAATAGAAAAATCACCTATGTTCCGCCCAGGTTCCCTCCTAGATGCCTAGGCTGTAGGCGTCGGGTCAAATGCCTAGGTTGCCTAGTGCTTTTTGTAACCTTGAATGAATGTATGATTCACTAGCTCAAAAACACTTAAATCTGGGCGGGAAAGCGTGGGCTACTTGCGTGGACTGTACTCTTTAGGCCTTGATCGTGACTTCCTCCGTTGTAACCTCCATGTCTTTCAACCTCCTCCAAACTCCTCCAGCTTCCAACTATGAGCACCTTCTCTACCTCTTCCGACTTTCAGTAAAACCTTCTCCCCCACCATTTAACAAAAAAAAAAAAAATGCCTAGGCGTTAGTCCAATGCCTAAGCTTTCTATAATATTGGTATTTACTATCAATTATTGTAATTAAAAAATAAAAATAGGAAAATCACCTATGTTCCGCCCAGGTTCCCTCCTAGATGCCTAGGCTGTAGGCGTCGGGTCAAATGCCTAGGTTGCCTAGTGCTTTTTGTAACCTTGAATGAATGTATGATTCACTAGCTCAAAAACACTTAAATCAAACTTGGCTAGATTTGCAATTTGTTTCGAATATGCTATAATATATGCAGATAATATGTTCATAAATGGATTCTTTGTTTGAGTTACATAAAAGTCTGGACTGGAGTAACAGAGTAAGTTAGGCAGGTTTACCTCATCCCTTAATAGAAAATAAGTTCAGGAAGTTTTTGGTATGGTTTAGTGAATACACCCCTTCAACTAGGTCTTATAGTCACACCAGCTTCTTCCTTGTATTTTTGTACAGAAGTTTACATAATATTTCATCACCTACCAAAAAATTCAAGTCCTAATTTTACATGGCTTTACAAAGCAGGGAATCAAAAGCTAACTTGAAATTCTAACTTATTTATTCTACATCCATAGTAATCAAAACAACAAAATTGCTAATTTAGTGCGATAACCTTTTTATGATCAGGTACATGGACACAACAGATCTTAAATATAGACTACAAATATGCCATGGTTACAATAAAAATAAATTATAAATATAAATGTGTCTGAGTTAATTTATTGTCTGTGGTATAGTTTCTGATACTAAAACGAACAAAAGATCATCCTATTTTAAATAATAGTATTTTTAAGTTATTAGAAATCGATAATGATTATGCAAGCAGTCATATTATTTTTCTTTCTTTTGGAATAAGACCCAATACCAAATAGACAACTAACGTCATTTTCGTAGTTATAATGGGTTTTAATCCAAGTAAGATTGGTTTTAGTATTTGAGACTCAATACAAGAATTAATTGTGAGCTTACCATGATACTATTTGATGAAAATGGGGATGTTAACTCTGAATTTAGTATGCATCCAGGGAATGATGGTAATTACTAGATAAGGTAACATTGTGAAATCCTTAGCCTCGATATTAGGTGAAAGTTCTAGAATTTGTCACTTTCCGTCCAATAATATTTATAGCTATTACTTTATGGCATAAGCAATTCTATTTCAGCTAATATTAAGAGAGGAGCAATATAATAAGGATGTCTCCAAGTTGAACATGAACATTTATACTTAAATAGTTCTGCTGTCATATAGTATAGAAACTTTTACAGGTGGTATTTCTGTAAAAATCTGTGCAAGAATAAGGATATGTGCATGCCAGTGTTGTATGGACATGGACCAAGCCGTCATGGATATGACGCATCAACACAAGTTGATGTTTAGAGGTATACGCATGAGACATGTGACATGCTTGTCTTGTTAGAATCATCTAACAATTTAACCTAAAACAACCAGGAAAATTATGTTCCGGTAATTATTCTGATAGCCCAACTGGTAAGCATACAACTAAAAGTAGTATATTGAATTCTAAACAACACTACTAAAATCTTCAAACTTTGATGATCGATTGTAGTGATTGCTGTTATGAAGTTCATCGGACTTACCATACAAAACACTGCAGCCATTTCTGTACCTAAAGGAAACAACTATATGTACTCTTGCTTGGTTTTCCACTAATCTTCACTTAGCTGGTTATTTTGTGGGCTGCACTTGAAATGGTTCATGCTGCCATTTTGGGCGCAAATATGATATTAGATGCATATATAAGTGCACTTGCATATTCCTGATAGATAAGCGGGAAAATTGAGTACTGAAGACCGAAAAATGAGTGAGCATCACTTACCTTTCTTCATTTAGCGTCTATATATCTTGGGGTTTAAGTTGACACAGAAAATTAAAAATGTTGCCTTCTTTTTATCATGATCTTGAAATCATATTTATCATGCTCATTACTTTTGATGTAGTAACTTTGTACCCTTCTTTTGCTTTAGGAAGTTGTTCATGTGCTACCCACTACTTGCAACTGGGACAAGTAATCACCTAAGCGTTCCTACCTTGAACCACTCACGTCATTTTTCATTTTTAACATATATGATTTTTATATGTCGCTAAATTTATTCGCATGAGTACAATAGTTATCTAATCTCAAGGATTCATCTTTGGTGTGTTTTAGGTGTTCCAAATAGTAGGACATGCTTTTGCTAAATTTACTTTAATTATAATCTGCCTATTTCTTAACTGTTTTGATGCTTTGCAGTAATGGGTACAAAAGTGCAGTGTACAAGCTACCAACCAAGATTTTATGCAATGGGGAATCTTAACGAAGATGCAGATGGATGTTGGCCTCAGTACTATGTGGATACATCAGGTGGAAATATTTACAACAGTTACCAGCAAAGACCATCAAATGGGTGTCTGGAATTTGACAAAGAAATGCTTAAGAGGACAATGCTTGAACATGAAGCTATATTTAGGAAACAGGTGAGTCCCTTCACAATGCCTTGCATATATTTCAGAGCAAGGAATCTTGATGTTTCTTAATATAGCATATAGTCACATCATGTTATCCATATACTAATTCTGATTTCTTTTAACTTTTTAATTGTTGTTGTGATTCAGGTCTATGAACTGCACCGTCTTTATAAGATCCAAAAGGGCATGATGGATGAATTAAAGAAAGGGTCATGTAGACCTGTACAAACCGATACATCACAATCAAATTCTTTTTTGCCCCAAATACCATCCGAATGCACTTCTAGAATGTTCCAGACGACCCGCCTATCTGAAACCACCATGAGTAGCAATGAAGCACCTTTGACAGTAACTGATGACAGGAAACCTAGGAGAATGTTTGACCTTCAACTCCCAGCTGATACGTATATTGATTGTGATGAAGAAGAAAGAGCGGGAAAGGAAGTTGTTGCTGAGTCATCTTCTGTAAATAATGTGAAGCTCACTCTTGGCATTAACGAGGGTTCTAATTGTGGAGAACTGTGCATTAAAAAAGCATCTGTTTCAGCTTCCACTAAATTTCGGGGCCCAAGAACCTCTTTTGCAGAGAATCAAGGGCTTCAATTTGCAATGAGATCAAACACAGTTTTCTCAGGCTCGCCAAGTGCTTTTCTCAGGCCTTACGGTGAAGGGACTAGTTCAAATCGTTTTCTTGTAGATGATGATAAAACGAGTTGGGAATGGCCATTCTATAGCAATGAAGCTAGTAAGAGTTCCTTCTTTGACTTTGGTGAAAATTCTAATTGGCATATTTGTGTTATGTTTACATCTTGGCTTGTCGATCCCTTCATGGGCATGCTTGTATGTGTCTACATGTTTGTGTGTTCATGTGCATGTGCATGGGTGGGTGCGGCCAGCTATTTGTGACTGTAGGTTTTTTTGTTATGTTTTGCAGATGAGGCAATTATCTTTGAAGTATTTTTATCCTTCAGTTAATTGGACATTAAATCTAACTGTCTGTCAAATCAACTTTGGGAATTGTATCATTATAGTTCAGGTGCCTAAAACACCAAAGCTGGAACATAACTGAGTGTGTTGATGAGACAACCGTAGATTCCATGTATCCCTTTATTGGAATATGATGTTTAATTACTGGTAGAAATTTATGGATAAAGATTAGAGATAAGTGTTTTTATACTCTTCTAATTATTTGGATACTTATCTCATGTTTGCTAAGGTGGGTTTGTTGCATTTACAATCTTTCCTTAGTTATGTAGTTTTCCACTTTTCCCCAATTGTAGTTGGTCTTTTCTTTGCTCTGTATCACTCGGGTGAAGTTGGGATAAGAAAAAAACAGAGGAACCGAGGCTTATAGAGCATTAAATGTCATCACTTTCTTTTAATGGGATCCATAAGTTCATGACTGGATGTCATCAAAATGTCTTGAGCTGTAAAACCACACTGTTAGTTTGAATCCTGTTAAATAAATGTTGTGGAAATAATTTGATTGAAAAGAAATTTATGGTGATCAATTGGTATACAGTATTGGAAGAAGAATTCTCACACTTTAAAGGAAAATGTAAGTACAGATACCTGTAAAGAGTCTTGGACACTTAAAAAATTGGCAACAAAGAAATTCAGCTGATATTTTCTAATGCTATTATGTATACATTTCTGGACGCTTTATATGATATGGCCAGTTAAATTTATTTCAGAGGCTCTTTTATTTCGATTTATGATGTTGGAAGTTTTCCTACCCAGATTTGAAGGTTTCAGTGATTGTAGATATAAGGCACTTTATTTTATTTGTGTGATTAAACACATTAAATGAATAATTAAAACATTTTTCAATTAATTGTATAATGAGGTTTCCTTAATCGCGGGTAGTTGATTAACCACCGGGTAGTTGATCACACAATTTGGGATGAGAGTTTATGTATTTGTTGGATTCGGGGCAAGAGGAACTTACTGGCACCAGCTGATGTAAAATAAAGTATGGAAGTGAATAGATTTGTTGACAGAAAAATTGCAGATTAAGAAAAGAATGCCGAAGTTTGGTGTACCAGGTGCACCTACCTAATAAGCAGCAAAAAAATACCGTCAACTTGGGACTCCAGGGTTCCAGAAGTTGCATTTTCATTGCCACCCATAATTTGATTCTTTAAGGCATATTTGCCTTTATGATGTTTATAATCTCTTTTTTCAACTAACTATTCAGGTGCATGAGTCCATCTGTATACTTCGTTCGTTTCTTTTTTCCTTTATAGAAATTCTGAAAATTCTGTTACTAAATTGTATGCTATTCGAAACTTGAACCAAAGCTTAAACTACTAGCACATTTGATACTGCATAAAACATTCAATTGCTACAAAGGACTCATTACAGTTTAAGCAAGACTGCGAAAGGACCCTGCCCATGCACCAAAACTCCGAAGTTGTGGTGAATGTGTTATAGTTTTATATTCTAACATGGCCTAGCAGGTTGAAGGATCGTTTATGGTCCAAAAGTTTGGACTCATGGAGTGGTATCTTTCTTTTTTGAATCCGCTTTAGAAAATTCGTGACCAATAGGATTCAAATCTGGATTGCTCTGACACCATGTAAAAGGACCCTCTGCCGCTTCAACAAAACTCAAAGTTGTGGTGATGGTTGAAGGTTATATTTTTATATTCTAATGGTGGCATTTTATCAAACCAGCTATATAACACTGTTTCCTACTAAGTTTTATGCTGATTGTTTACTTTGCACATCTATCATGTCTATACTTCTGCTTGCAAGTCTACTCTTAATCATTTTCGCTCCCATTTATATTTTATCCTTTCAACAATATACATATGCTATGTTATTACTTTAAATCTTATCTTTTCTGTTATTAATTTTACAGGACAAAGCACCAACAATCTGAACTTTTTCAGTCCTGGTTCCTCCAAGGAGAAATTCTCCATGCGATCTGAACACGTACACTCAAATCAGAAATCTCATGAAATTCCTTCTCCAGATCAAAATAAAAGAGAGACATGGTTCAAACCGAAACATGAAGACTATGGTAGAAACCCTCAGTTACCCCATTCATTATGGATGAAACCTGTAAATGCGTTCAGTAATGCTCCATTATCAGTTCCATCTCTTCAATGCTTCAATGCAGCATCTTATCGAAATGGTTTTAACCAAGGTTTTAGGTCGGACTATAGCTCAGCATCACAGATAACGTCTCAGCCAATCGCCTTCAGCAATATTGATGGTTCTGGACTTCAAAAGCCTGAAGGAGACATAAATTTGAATCAAACACCTTCCAATGGATGCCGAAATGGCCTCACTCACAAGATCAATGAGCAAGAGAAGAAGTCTGAGGATCCGTCAAAAAAGCTTCCTTGGGTCAGAAAGAAACCAACTGTTAATGCTTCCCCCTTACTGGAGCTGGACCTGTCAAAAGGTTATCCCCAGCTAAAGGCGATGGATCCTATACATGAAATGACACAAGAAACTGAGAAAAACATGAACTTATTTGATGGGCAAACTAGTAAGAAAATTTTTGGTTTTTCCATTCCAGAACGAATTGTTGATATCGAGCACAAAGAGAAAGATCACATAGATTTAAACTTTGACTTGAACTTTGACCTGAATTCATCAGACCCCTCAGCCGAAGTTGAGATGCAAGAGGCTCCCTCACAAGTCTCTGCACCACCTGTTGCTTTCAAGATCGACTTGGAGGCACCAGTTGTTTTAGAGGAAGAAAAACAAGATGAATCCTTAGTTAGAGAAGCAGCAGAAAGTATTCTCTTGATATCATCAGATAAGTGTAGGCACTTGGATGAAGCTGATACTTTGCGTTGGTTTGCTGAAGTGGTTTCAACTTCAAATGAGGAGTTGGATACCTTTGAGAAGTTAACTATGGAGCTCGAAGAAATCAAGCCTGAAGAATTTTGGTGCAGGTCATGGCAAAAACAACAAAACAAAGATGATGATGACGAAGATGGTGATGGTGATAATACGAGGAGAAACATGGCTACATTGCTATTCACGAAGCCTCGGAGAGGTCAACAAAGAAAAAGAAGGCAAAAGAGGGATTTCCAGAGAGACATCCTCCCAGGACTTTCATCGTTGTCGAGGCGAGAAGTGATTGAAGACCTCCATTCTATTGGAGCAGGAGGATTGACAAGGAGGAGGGTGGGTCAGAAACCTAGGAGCTTGGCTGTCACTGTGGAGGAGATTCATGTAAGTCCACTTCCTGCATTTCCAGCATCTGCGCCGAAATCTGAAGTAGAGTTACATGAGATGGAAGTTGATGGGAGGAGCATGATTGGATGGGGGAGGACTACAAGGCGGTGTCGTAGGCAGAGATTGCCGATGGCGACCAATGTTGCAGCTCCTCTTACTTGAAGTGAAGAGATAGCAATACTGATGGTGACAACAATTATAGTTTTCTTGAAGAGATGATACAGTGGCATTGTTGTATATGACTCCTCGTTCTAGAAATTGGCCTTGTGATTGCAGAAGGGCTTTGAGTTTCGCATAAACAGCTTGTACATTTTGAGAATAAATGCTGAATCAATTCAGGTAAAAAAAAATAGACTGATATTGGGGGGGGGGGGGGGGGTAAGAAATGCCTCTAATGACCTTGGTTAGATGTTTGTTCTTGTTAAATGTTGATAACAGTGTTGTAGAACGTTTATAAAGTCAGCAGAGGCGTTCCTCCTATTAAAATTTGAAGGCAGAGAAATATTCGGCATTTGATGTAATGGCTTGTAGATTTCTATTCTATTGATAGTTGGATGAGAAATAGCACAATTGACAGATCAAAGGTGGAGCAATAACTGTTTGTAGTTTCAGTTTTTGCAGTTGATAAATTTCTCTTCATTGCGTGGGGAAGCCTAGTAGGGGTAAAGTCGTATCGCTCCCTCGTAGGGGAGCTTAGGTTTAATTCGCTCCCTCGTAGGGGAGCTTAGGTTTAATTCCTATGTGCGCGAAAGATGCAGTAGTTGAGTTTGTTGGTGTTGTTATGTACAGATGTATTTATTTTCCTCGAAAAAAAAAATCTTTGTTTGTTTTCAGTGAAACGTTATGATTGGTCATATTGCATTGAGCTGCGGCGCTTTTGGTCCGGACAGAGAGCTAGAAGTCGGGCATTGAAAAGAGGTCATGGGTAGTGAAGCAAATCTCATAAGGGTATCTTTGTCATTAGAGTCGCATAATGTTGAATTAAAAAAAAACAAACTTTTCCTTAAAAATTTGGCGGTAGACGATGTAACTAGAGAGGGTGAAAGTGTTAACTTCCAAAATCCGGAGGATTTTCTGTCGTTCTCGTGCACCTCGGCGGGATTTTTATTGTTAGTTACCCTAAGTTTTTCTAGTAGAATTATGATTTGTCTTTGATTTTAGTATAATGCACATGCATTACATAAGAATATACTTGAAGGTTTTTTGTCGATGCAAGATGACGAAGTGACACAAAAGAAAAAAAATAAAGATCTTTATGGATTTTATGTTGATAAATGTTGATTCGAAGTTTTGATACTTTCATGAAAACTAATGATGAATGTAATAATCTAAATATTCAATAATTATATAAATTAAATATTTATTTAACCTATAACAAATTAATTTTATTAATCTTACTTTATTTATTGTTCAATACATTAATATTTACTAATTCCAATAAAACTAATTTGTAAACTATTTATACATAAGATCGAACAAGTATTTTGGCTGTGCTCACACAGATGAGTCTTACATGTAGAATAAGTAATGTGGAGTGGATAGTGGAAACTGAATTCACATCATTAGCTTGGAAGGCTAGGAGTCTAATTTTTTTTCTTAAATTTGATTTGCATGGTCTCCATGCGTTTCATTTTCAGTCTTACTCATGTGTTTCTAAATTGTATTGGACAGAATTTTTCTGCTGCTACTTCTTCTTTATTATTTTATATATACTCTAATTTTTATAGATATGAGCATACATATAGATTATACCAATGACTTATAGCATATGGATTATTAAAAAATAGATAGTTGAGCTTAAGCTTTTTCTTCAAATAGTTTGAAACTTAAAAGGAAGTCAAAATAAGGGAGTGGAACTTTTATTCTAATATTTGAAGTTTGATATTTTAAATTAAATAGATTAACTAGCAGTATCTTTTTACAATATTTTTTTTATTATTTATAAAATTCTAAGATATAGAGCAAAAAAAGTCGGCTTGCCAAACGAGCGCATAGATAGTTTTTATTTCAAAATTTTAAATTTAAAAATATATAGTTTTACCATCAAACTCTTCTTTACAATATGCATCCTTTTGCAATATTTAAAATTAAAAAATGATATAAAAAAGTCAGTGCTCCTTGTGTGTTTACAATATTCAAAATATTTCTTCAATGTAAAAACTGTCGAGATTTTGCAACTCTAGAAGGTAATCTTACATTAACATTTTATTTTTAAAAAACTTGTAATATTTGGCATGAACTAAAAGAGTACATTGAATTAGCCATGTAACATGAAGCAATCAAATAAAATATTGTTGTTAGATGATATATGAGGCATTCACATATTAATTTAATCTAAAACAATCTCACATGTAAACATCAATCTTGTGATGCTTGCATTAGAATTTTAACTTAATTGTAACGGTACATATGGTTCTAAAATATCTGTAAAATAATTAATAATATTTTAAGAGTAAGACTAATCCATTATCTTTAAATATAATTTGACACATGTATAATTTGAATATATTATTTTAGGGTTAATTTTAGAAAACCCCCTAAATACCCCCCCACCCCTAAAAAAAAATAATTTGAGAAAGATTCTCCTCAAGTTTGGGCATATTATAAATAAGGGATTTTTATTTCTAGGCCCAAAAGTTTATCCTAGTTTATCCTTAAACCCAAATAATTTATTTTGTATCGTTGAACCTACTTATCTTTATATACTTATCTCTAGACCCAACTTTCAAAGTACAATACACACATATTTGAGCCATAAAAAATCCAATTATACCCTTCCCCAACACCCTTTTTTTATTCCTACGTTCTTTCATATGTGGGCTCCTTTAAAAAAAATACAATTACACCTTTCCCCAACCCCCCTCCTTCTATTTCACAATTAATTCTCCTCTCTCTTCCATTATTCTCTTTTTTTTATTCTTCCACTTGTATGAACCCATCCACTAATTCTCAACCATTCTTATGAATCCATCAATTAATTCTTAACTTCATTAATTCGTAGGGTGTAGTTGCTTAATTTTGGTGAAGACTGATCCTTTCTTAATAATTTAAGGTGTAATTTTGCATTTTACTTAACTATTTAATTTGTGGTATTAATTTCTTATTTTATTCATGAAAAATATTTCACATTATTATTCATGAATTCATGAATTTTTTTTTCACATTTTATAGTTAGTTAATTAAATTTGATCTTAGTTGACTATCTTTGATGAAATTTTGAATAAATTTGTTTATTTTTGGTGACAAATATATATGGATGAAGAGTTGTATTGTGCATTAATGGATTTTAGAGGAATAATCACTTTTTTAAATTGAATGTCAATGGGAAATAATCATTTCTTATATACCAAAGTCATGATGACAAGCTATATATAGATGAAAAAAATATACTTCTATATTATCACGCTGTATTTTCATATTATTATGCTATATTTTTGTAATAATTCGCTATACTTTCCATAATATCACCCTATACTTTGATAATAACCCGCTATACTTCATAACAGCATGCTATACTTTTATATTATCCCGCTATACTTTCATATTATCCTGTTATACTTTCATAATATCACGCTATACCTTCAGAAGAACCCGCTATACTTTCATAAAAGGAGTTGAGTAAAATACAAAATTATATTTTAAATTACTAAAAAAGTGACGAATCTCTATCAAAATCAAGTAACCACACCCTACGCATTAATGAGTTGAGAATTAATTGATGGATTCATAAGAGTGGTTGAGAATCAATTGATGGGTTCATAAGAGTGGAAGAATGAAAAAAAAGAATAATGGGAGAGAGAGGAGAATTAATTGAGATATAGAGAGGGTTTTGGGGGTTGGGGGTGCTAGGGAAGGGTATAATTGGATTTTTAAAAATTTTTAAGGGGCCCACATATGAAAGAATACATAAACAAATGTGTGTGTGTGCGTGGGAG